CCCAGTGAGAGCCCAGAAAGGGGCAATAGTATAGAGAGACATACCAGCATCTATCCCATCAGCGAGGCTTGGGGCGTGGTATTAGGGGTGGTAGGAGTCACGCATAGCCCATAAGGCTAGGGTGCCTGGGGAGCACCCATCATACCGGTTGACCCCCAGGGGGTCCGGGAACACACGGGGACAGAGGTCCCAGCTATCCATGCCCAGGGAGTCGTAAGGCAGCCTCCCAACATATATTAAACAGCAAAGACGTGGCGGGGGAGAATCGAGGGTGCCCTTGGGCCGAATTGGCACGGAGAGAGGGCCTTAAGGAGATCACGGCCCTCCTATAGGACCCCGCCGTGACAGCAAGTCTACACATGCAAATAATCTGGGAGCAGTTTACTCTGGAGTAAAGTACTCTAGAGTAAACTCTCTCAGGCACGCTCCTACACATGCAGGCATTCAGGAGCAGATTTGCTGCCTCTAGCAGCAGACTGCTTCTGCTCCCTGCAGCCCTGCCCTGGGCCCCTGCAGCAGCCAGGGGGAGCTCTAGCCCCCCTGGGTACTAGTGCAGGGGCTGGAAGGGAGCATGGGGCCAAGAGAGAGTTATCTCCTGGTAGGAGCTGGGACACTGATTCCTGCCCCCAGGAACTGCCAGGGCAGGCTCTGCCACTGAAGCCTGGGTGGGGAGCAGGGAGCTCCCCGCCCTACTCTACAATAGTGGGGCCTGGGCTGAGAGATCCTTGTGTCCCAGCCCGAGTCCCACAGTCACAGGGTTTGGGCTGGGAGATTCTTCTCTCCCAGCACCAGCTCCATGGTCTCTTAGTTCTCCCTGCAATGACAGGGCTCAGGCTTGGAAATAAGAATCTCCCAACCCCAGCTCTGCAACCATTGAATGGGGACTGGGCGCTCACTGCTGCTGGGGCAGGGTGACATTGTCCTCACCCATGTTCTAGTGGTAGAGTCTGCCCTGGTAGCATGAACCTCCCAGGGGCAGGAAGCAATCTCTCACCCTGCTGCCCAGCTGACTAGAAGCAAATTTGCTCCTGGTCAGGCATCTACACGTGCGCCACCACACAATACATAATCGAGAGTTAATTTGCTACTTGCATTTGCAGGTAGCAAATTTATTCATGATTAGAGACAATTACTGCACAATAAACATCTGCATATGTAGACTGTGATGCTTACTATGTAGTAATTAGCTCTAATCTTGAATAAAGCATCTCGTGTAGACGTGCCCTCAGAGGAGTGCTAAGAAATATTACAAGAAAGCTTGTTGTACTAAAATGTGTACTGAAATATTTGACTACTGTGAATTCGGCCTTTAAAAATCATTTTGTTCCAAAATTGTTCCCAGTTCATCCTTAACATAAAAAGTTTGGTATACGTACCCTTTGTCTGATTTTTGCAACACTCATAAAAGTTTTAGACCCTTGATCAGCTATACATGTGGGTAGCACAAAGAGGTAACTTGCAGGGCTCCTGTATAGAAAAGACAAGAAGGAATGATATAGATGACATGTTCACAGAAAAACTTTGAAAATGAAAGTTGTAACCAAAGAAGCTCTAACTGGCAGACAACATGCACTTATCTTAGATTTTGAAATAATACAAGATAAGGCTTTTCATAGTTCCCCACATAAGAAAGGCTGAATGCAATCTATTGAGGTAGTCATGCTAAAACATGGCCAAAGTATGTTCTTTAACCTTAACAGTCAGAAATATTACTGTATCTTCAATTGGTCACAATGCATCAGAATATTAGTTAGAACAATCACATTTGCCCGTATGGTTTTTAACTCTCAGAACCACATTTCTCTACTCTTAAGGTGCCCAAGCTATAAAGTTCCTATCTAGATTTTGAACACCCTATAGCTCAAGGGGATTTGGATTTGTGTCAGTTTGGTAATTGCACATTCAGGCCCAAGCTGAATTTTAGGTTTCAAATATCATTCTTTATCTAGAAGTTTAACGGCACCTAAGACGCTGAGATTTTGCGTAAGCCCACAACAGTGAGAACTAAGTGATAACTGGGTACACAGGTATAAATGTATTAAAATAAAATATTCAATAACTGTTTCTCCTATTCCTAGTTCTAGCGATGCCTATGGTTAAATTCAAACTGATGCTTGAATATTTTTACACTATTTATTCAGACATTACATCGGCTATATAAAATATATTTATGAAAAATAGTACTATACATGTCAGAAGCCAGTCACACAACCTACAGTTTAACCATCATTGAACACAGTAAAAACAGAAGCAAGGTATCTTTTCAAATTATGATTTAAAACCCAAGTGAGATTTGTTTTCCTAAATAAATACAACTGAGAAGCCAATTCCATTAGTTGTGAGATACAATTTAGAATCCTTTGTGTCAGTCAAACCAATAATTCTGTAGAAGCAGATGTCAAAGAACAAGTAGTAAGAGATTAAAAACAAGCAAAATAAGAGACTTAATCCACTGTGATTATTTTAATGTCATTTCCTCGGTTCAGAAAAAAAACACTTAAACAGTTGCTTAACTTTAAGCAAAGCTGAGTCCCACAGTCTTCAATAGAGCATAACCCTGTACTATGTAAGTGCTTCTCTGAATACGTACTTTCTTGAATCAGGGCGAAAGCACCCCAGCAGATAAAAACATACCATATTAACTTAAAAAAAATACAAGACTTTTTCCCGAATCAGCATGAGGAAAAAATCCCCTTGTCTTATATTTACACACAAGGATCATGTCTACATGAGACATTTACTGTGGAGTTGTCTCATTAGCTCCACAGTAAATGGATTGGCATCTACACTTGTAACCTTATTAGACCTCAGGAAACTTGTTAACTCTGCAGCAGGTTAGTACTTTTAAATACAAGTAATATCCTGCTGTGGAGTCTCTTTGTGCCCAGCAATGCACGTGTAGATGCCAACTTGGCTGGCTGGGCATGAGAGTGCTTCAGTGCAGGGGCTGCCTGCTGGCTAACCTCACACTTGAGCACCCTTGTGCCCCACCCAGCCCTTCCACAGCATTGAGCTGGCAGCAGGGCTGCTCCGACCTGACTCAACACACCAGGGAGCAACAAACTCCAGTATGATATACACCAGAGTTTATTGCTCCACATTAGTTGCACATATAGATGCACCCAAGGAAACCTTATTAAATGAACTTTTTATCATTAAACTGCTACCAAAAGCAGCATGTCAGTAATGGAAACCAACTAAAAAATTGATTAACTGCAGCCAACACTAAGCATGAGTACAAAACATATGGTCCATGTTAGGCAAACATGCTGATGGGAATCTACCACAAAGATAGGTCAGTGTAACCTACCCAAATAAGAGATATGATAGTGTCCATTGAGTAGAGTCCCCCTCTGTGCCGATTCTTTTTCAAGTCATCATAAGCCAGTACCTTGAATACATTTTGACTTCTCTTCACTCCCACAACCGAGCTGTACCTTTCTTTCCCATTTCCAATCATTCCTGTTTTTTTTCCTCGAGCCTTGAGGGCTCTTATACATGTGCAGAGAGACTGTTCTGATCTGCTGTAATTACAGCATGTAGGAGAAGACTCAATTAATTGAGTCTACTGAAGCACAGTAATTACCGCGCTCCAGCAGACTCCAGCATCAAACATATCAGCGTCCCCACACTGAAAAATGGCAGTGGGGCACTTTAAACTAAAGCTCATTGGACAATCTTTAATTCAAAGCACCCCGCCACCATTTTTCAGTGCAGGGACACTAATATACATGACACTCCGGGTGCTTTAATTAGCGAAACTCTTGGAGTGCTAATCAATTAGTTGCACTAATTATAGTCCACCCCCCACCCCCCAGTCTTCAGGATCACATCTATAAACACCCTATATGTCTGGCAAACATCACAAAACAGGGCCTCAAACAGTTCACTTAGAATCTCCCTGCTGCTCTCTCAGTCTGTTGCATATGATTAATGTAGCCCTGTTCTCCATGAGGTGAAGCTGGACAAGCTCACCCTGTGCCTCATCTGTATATACATTTTTTTTTAAATACTAGGACTCGTGACAAGAATACCCAGTTTCAGCTGTAAGTGGGGGCTAATTAGCAATGGATCTTTTGTGAGGATATCTGGAATACACACACATACTGAACAGTGCTGATCTGTAGCATCACTATGGCTTGCAATACTGTTCACTCTGCTGAGGCCCCGCCCAATAGTTGTAAAATGATGAGCCTTTAGGTACAAAAATGCTGCATAAAAGCGTGTTTATGGAGTACCTGTGCTAAAACTTGCAGCAGTTTCAAAAAAGGTAAACTGCATCAATTCTGGATGAACTAAGTCTGTAGGTACCCGTAGTAATTTGCCTATATGTGAACTACTACAGGTATGTTTATTTCAAGGTCAATGTTTTTAAATTTGCCCCTCACTTCCACATGCTTAGGCAGAGCAAGGTCTGACAGTAAGGAGGAGGAGAAGGGGCTGCAGGGGGAATAAGCTGGAGGAGGCAGAAAGCAAGAGGGCCATCTGACCTCCCAGATTTGTATTCTCTGCTGAAGCAGTACGAGGGGGACAAATTCAATGCAGACCTCCAATAATTAGATTCTATACATGGAAAATTACAACAAATTTATAAATTCTGGGGAGTTGTCTTCTATTCATGTAAATATGGTATTAAACTAGGTATGGATTTTCATTTGCAAATTGTGACATTTTTAAATGCCAAACAACATGATTTAATAACTTATAACCAATAAAGAATGGAAGTTTAGAAAAATTTCCCTATATACAGGACAGCCTAATGTAACATGGCTAATTTTAAGCAGCTTCAAAATACTGTCTTTGCTAAGCATAGATCTAAAGCACACTAGGACATGGTGACGGATGACTGTTGACTAAGCAAAATTCATGGTCTTATAGGCTTTTCCCAATGAAAAGGAAAATCAGTGATGAAATCATATTTGCTGATGCAGTTCTGTTTGTTTACAGAGAACATATAAACCCCACTGCTTCCTTATTGAAGGAATCAAACACCAGCGACAATTTACAGCACTAAACATCTTTCAGACAGAGCTTTTGGGACATACTTTCTCCTGTTTCTTTTTTTTTTTATCTGAGTCCCACTCCCAGGGCTTGTTCAAATGCTTCCTGGCTTTTTCACTGTTTCTCCTTGTATCTCTCACACTATCCCCTTCTCCTGCCTCTGCAACGTCTCCATACCAAGGCAGTTTAAATTCTGCAATAGATTCAATAACTTTATTTTGGGCTATTGTCTTTCACAGCCAGCAGTGCAACTTGCGGGGTGGAGGGTGCATGCACCAGGGTAGCAGCCACTAGCCAGGGCACAAAGCTATCTTGTTACACCTCTGCTTAAAGCTATCTTATTGAAAGACACTGGTTGAAACCTCCTTTCTGGAGGTTTAAGGACAACCTATATTAATATTAACCAAAAGAGAAATTCAAAAACTATTCATAAACAAAAGTTTGACTATTCAAAGGGCATGAAAAACTGGTGTACTCCACCAGCACTCCTACTGGAAACAAGCTACCTGAAATACATCGCTTTATAAGAGCCTGTGACTAGAAATACACAAGTCTGGCTCACGTTTCCAATTCTCCAACTGACCTGTCAAGTGAACCCAAGGAAGTCTTTGGCCTACCTACTGGAGGAAGCTGGGAAGTCTTAAGTGAGCAAAGGAATTTTTAATAAATATCTTTTAAAGGATTCTTTCACTCTCTACGCCTTTATCCAACGGTTCTGTAATATGAAATGCATAAACAGTGTTGGCAGTCATGACCAAAACCCAGAATTCCCACCTTACTGAACTTCTAAGCCATGGTCCTGCTTTCTATCTCTTTGGTCTTATGAATCTTGCATTATTAGCTGCACAATAGCCCAACTTCAACAGGAAAGTGCCCTCAGCCAGCCTGCAATTAGGGTCCTCTACTGGGAGGCTGAGAAGTCTATTTGAAGCCTATGGGGCTGAGGTGGACCTAGGACCAAATCTTCCCCCTTCTTGGGTGAATGGTCTAATCACTAAGGCTAGGGACAGACATTACATATAAACTGTAGTATCAGACTTAACTGATTTGGGTCAAACTGGTTTATGCAATGTCTGTCCCAGACCCCTTCTTGGTTAAAATTACAACAGAGTCCCCCACCAACAAGATGCTGTCTGCTCCAGAGAACAGGGCTGGGCCCACCCCTCTGTCACCCTAGCCCTAGGCAGAGACTGCAGACACAGCAGGGACTGCCTTGCTTCCCCCTACACCACCCCGCCTCCCTCGCTGCTCAAGCAGGGCTCCCCACTTGCTCCCACCCATCTCTCACAGTACGGACCCCAGCCCCATGGACCCTAGGCATGTGGTATGCTATCTAATGTTGAGAGAGGGGTGTGTGTGTGTGTGTGTCTGTGTATACACACATCCAATTTCACTGAGATAGAAAGACAGAAGTGTCGTCTTAGGGCATTTTGGAGCTGATCAACAGGTCAGCTGGTAATGTCCCTCCATTCCTTCCTTGGAAAAAGCTGTTTAAGAAGAGCTTGAACTAATGAGAGAGGCTCCTGTTTTTTTGTTGGGCTGATAAACACTGTTATCAGCCCCTTTCTGGTTCCCTCGCCTGTCAGGTTTGCAGACAGTATGAAGAAGCAGGGGGAGGGAGATTGGAAAACTCAGTATCATCAACAGATGCATGCACTGCACACCTGCCCCACCCCACTTTGCCTCAGAGTCCTAGCCCAGGGCTGGGGTCTGGCTACACTCCTGCCCCTTGAGCAGCGAGTGAGGAAAAGCCTGGGACAGTGCATGCAAGGTGGGGGTTTACACCTCTCTCTAATCACAGCATCCTACCAGGGCTTAGCCATGCTCCTCCCCCCCAGCTCAACACTGTGGAAAGGAGGGAGGGCTGCTCTAGCACCTGCAAAGACTGAATAAGTTGAATCTTAAAGCATTAAGATGTAGAAGAGCAGGAAGCAATTTCAGACTGTGAATCCCATGCTCACCCACACACCTAACTCAGGGCTGTAGGTTGATGTCTGACTCTTGGAGAGTCATAATCTCAGATGCATCCCCTCTCTTCAACAAAACATCTCCTATTAACTGGCTTAGGAATTTGAGTCACTTTCCTAGGTAACTAATTTCACCCACATACAGGATAGACAGACCTGTGACTAAGTGGATTTCATAACAACTGGTATTCCACAATATGTAGGAGCATGTCTTGGAAAAAAACACTGAGAAAGTGTCATGAGGCCAATGTTACATCACAGTCCAGATATAATGTTTTACAGGTATATGTTTTTGTGTATGCAGCATTTTTAAAACAACATAGAAAATTGTATTTAACCCAGGATCCTCTAAATTCTAAGTGGCTGGGACTGCAGTCCCTGCAACCACACACCACGCAAACCACATGCTATGCCATACAAGCTACCCCACCATATTACATAGGTCCCCAATGTGCCCCACAAGCCACCCACACCACATGGGCCCCCAACGCACTGCATGGCCCCACCGGCAGACACGCCACACTACACAGAACCTCTACATGAGCAGACATGATGCATCATCCCCTCCACCCACACCCAGGTGACTCCCGCTATGCGGGGGGTTCCTCAATCCCCCTCAAACCCTCTGGCCACAGGATGCCCTAGTTCTGTGGAGCATGTCACTCTACCTGACCGCCTAGGGACAGGGTAATCCATCAGAAAATGGAGGAAGGAAGAAGAACCTAAGAACTCCTGCAGCAGTAGCAAATGAGTGAAGGGGATATCAGTGCTCTGAACAAGAGCCCAGGGCTCACAATTTAACTCCTCATGGACTGCATGTATTAGACAGCTCTTATTTAACTAATCAAAAAAAGTTAATTATCTTTGTTTAGTAGAAATAAGTCCATCTTATAGGAAGTCGTGTAAACAAACCAAAGCAGCAAAGACATCATCGGTTATTTCAGGACTGCTTTGTAAGTTTGGACAACCAGAAAAGCTAATAATAACTGCATGTGACTGCTTCAGGAAGAAAGAAGCTGAAGTTTTATATCCCATTCTTCTTCAGTTTCATTGTCCAATGCATTGGACACTTTTGGCAATTTCCTTAATTGCCAACATTTCAGGAATCACAAGTTTGTTAACTTGGAAAATTTCTTCAAAAGTGATACTCACATCAGTGATTGTAGATCATTCTGCATCCATAACAGGTTCCCCAGGCCTATTGCCAATATCATCTGTTCTGGATCGGTTGGCAAGCTGAAACATGCCTTCAGGAAGCAATTACCAATAGTGACAGGAGTGACAGAATTCCAATCTGTGTACAGAAATTGAACAGTAATTTTCACAAAAAAATCTCTGGATATATTCTGCTCCATGGCATGCACAACATAACGCACTATCCTCTTAATATTATTATTTGAATGCATTGGTGATGGCCTGGTTGCACAGCTGAAGCATTCATGTATTTGAGGGGGCAGCTGAAGCATTCATGTATTTGCTTTGTGGCAGTTAGGTTCTGATTTCAGTATGAGCTGAACAAATGTCAAGAAACAAAGAACTCCCCTTTTCTTTCACTTGTAGTGAAGTGTTGCAAACAACTTTTCAAACACCCTTGTTCCTCATCACAGCACAACTGTTCACTTTTTCACTTTGCAAGTCACAGAAAGGCTGTTATGTTTTGAGACAATGAGGATTTTTAGATTTTCTTACACTATTTGTGACCATTTTTACTGCCAATCAAATTGGTAGACAACAACTGTCAAACCATCCTGCACTTATCATTGTAACATTTCTCACTTTTTAAATAGAATGTTCCATCAAGAAGGAGTTTGAAGAATCCATCTATATTGACTATGACATCAAGGATGTATTCATTAGGCTGTGCAAAATGGCACCCTTCAGTTTCGCCAGTTCGAAGGAACAGCATTCCGTTTCAAATTTCATTTTGATTCAAAACAGCTGTTTTGTTTTGTTCTGTCTTAACTGAAAGGCTGTTTTGATTCTGTTTCAACATTTCTCTGGAAGTGGGAAGTCAGCCCAAGTAGGCTGACTTCCCACCCCAAGTACGAGATCGCACAGGGGGTGGGGAGTAAGCCCGGCTGAGTTGACACCCCATCCCTGCTGCTAGATTGGGCAGGGGAGCGGAGACTCATCCCAGCTTGGTTCACTTCCCCTACCCACCCGCACTGTGATCAGGTGCGGGGGCAGAGTCAGCCCAACTGGGCTCATTTCCCTTCCCCGTGCTGCAATTGGGTGTGGGGCAGACAGTCAGCCCAGCTGGGCTCACTTCCCCACCCTCCATGCTGCCATTGGTTGTGGGGGCAGAGTCAGCCCAACTGGCCTCTCAATTGCAGTGCAGGGCAGGGGGGAAGTGAGCCCAGTTGAGCTGACTCTCCCCCCCGCACCTGATCACAGCATGGGGGGGAGTGAGCACAACTGGGATGACTCTGCCCCACAGCCGATCGCACCACGGGGTGGGGAAGTAAGCCCAGTTGGGCTGACTCTCCCTCCCACACCCAATTGCAGCGTGGGGGGGAAAGGGGGGAGTGAACCCAACTGGGATGACTCTCTGCCCTGCACCCAATTGCAGTGCAGGGCAGGAAAGTGAGCCCAGTTGGGCTGACTCTCCCTCCCGCACCTGATCGTGGCATAGGGGCGGAAGGAGTGAGCCCAGTTGGGATGACTCTCTGCCCTGCACCCAACCTCAGTGTGGGAAGGGAAGTGAGCCAAGTTGGGATGACTCTCTGCCCTGCACCTGATTGCAGCATGGGTGGGGAAATGAGCCCAGTTGGGCTGACTCTCTGCCCCATACCCGATCACAGTGTGTGTGTGTGGGGGGGGGGGGGGAGGCTGACTCTACACACCCCCCTTACCAGATCGCAGCGCTGGGGTGGGGAACTGAGCCCAGGCTCAGTTCCCTTCCCCTGCACTGTTATCAGCTTCCAGCAGCGGGAGACAGAGAAAGCCAGGGCTGTGCACAGCCCTGGTTCTCCCTTGTCTCTCGCAGCTAGCTTTGAAACTCAAAATGTTTCAAAACGTTTTGCCTAGCCTCATTTTGTTTTGAGGCTGTTTTGAAGCCCTTCATTTCAATTCAATCTCACTGTTTCGAGCTTGAAATTAGTCAAAACCGTGTTGAATCAAAACAACCGGCAAAATTTCGCACAGCCCTAGTACTCATCTATAATCATTGGTAACTTTGCAATCTATTTGTCCAACACATTGCAAGCAATACTAACAGTTTCTTGTGTAGAGGCTTTAACTGTAATATTATGATGTTTCTTCAACTGTTGAAAGTAGATATGGGAATATTTCTAATCCAATAGTCCCACTTCTTCAGCCAGCATCTCTACCATTTCTGATAATAGCATTCCACTTTCCAGAAGAGAAGATAAATGGGTTTACTTAAACCCCTTTCGTAGTGCTTTATTCAAGTCGAGGTAGGGGCTAGTTCTCAGTTGTTTGCAACTCATCACAGCTCATTTCAGAGTTTGAGCAATGGTATTCATTTGTTATCTGTGCTCTTTTGACAACAATTCTTAAACCTTTTAATGAATCTACCCCAAGTTCTCTACAATTTCTTTGCATTTACAGTTATGGTCAACCATTCTCAGAATATCAATTTTTGTATAGAAATCTAAGTTGTTTCAGGTACATTTGTTCACCATGTTGATTAACAATATCACCAGAAGAACACTAGTGCCGGATGATACAATTATTGTACTTCTCCAAGTGCTGGTCTTTTAGTGGACTTGATTTTGAAACAAATTGATATTAGGAGATAAATTAACCCAATCGAGATTAGTGAAGTCATTGATATTAAGTATGAATGAAGCATATTCATATTATTATGAATGGAAGTTAACCATTATTGGTTAATGCTGTGATAACAGGCAGAGTGATAAAAGGCAGATATATATATCTCTTAACTCATTTGAGTCATGTTCTGAGAAGCATGCAAATAGAAGTGAGGTATAACAACACTGAGCTTTGCTATACCTTTGTTCCTTTTTTAATCTGGTGCCTCAGTGCCCAAGAGCAGTTATTTTTTCCTTTTCTTTCTAAACTTTATGGAATATTCTAATACAATACACATGACAGTCAAAATACTGCTGTGTATATTACAAGTCAAATACTTTTACTCTTCTCCTAAGGAAGTTACCACCATTTTAGGTTCATATTTCTGCCTTATAACGTTTTCTGCCCTCCTTAGATTAAACATCCCAGAATTAAGTCACGAAATGGGATTCAGGACTAGTGTATAGTGTATTCAATGAATGACAGATAGGCTTTATTTACTGAAAATATTCACTGTTAAATGATCTGAAAGCAAAGCAAAGTCCAGTATAGTTAGCTGTAAAAGTGACAGTATCTCACCAATACGGGCAAAGAGGCAGTTTCGGTCTTGTCATCTTCAAGGTGTGGATCAGTTCACCAAAACATCAGCTGAGCACAGTAGCAGTTCTTGTCAGAACGATTTCTCATTCTTCAAGCGTGCCATTAGCAGTTTCATTCCTCTTTTATATCCTTTAGCTCAGCATCTTCAAAGCATCTTTTTGTAGCTGTGTAAATCAAGAGAATCCCAAGCACTAATTAACAGGAAAATCCTGTTAATCAAACTGTTCATTGTTTGTTATCAGAAAGTCTCAATTTTGATTGAATTACCTTCCTCAGTAACAAGAGTTTACCAATTTCTACTGAGTTGGAACATATCAAGAAATTGATTAACAACCAGGAAAAAACAAAGTTTTCAGGAGTTGTCCTTGGAAGATCAAGGGAACCATTTAGGCAAAACAAGAGTAAATCATGAGGAGACACCTATCAGAGCCCATATGGAGACTGTCTCTTCCTACACAAAAACACAAGTTAATTGCAAAGAAATATTTACTACACTAATTAATCAAAGATAGACATTTCACACAGTTACACCAGACACATAGAAGCCTCCTCAAAATCATAATAAATATAGTAAGATAAGCTGGAAGTGATGCCTTACTATTTCTTTTCAGAAGGCCAACCACAAACTTACATCCTCTTGCACTATGTAACTGTCACAAATATTTTTAATTTTAACTTTTGAGAGTGGGCCCAGCTCAGCTTGAGTTTCACAGTCATCATACCCAACTAGCAAGACAGAAAAGAGTGCTATGCTAGTGCTGTAGAATTCTGATACAGCTGGCTGGCTTCTGTAGCATTATCTTGTTAATTCAAGGTCATGTTCTTGTTCAGTCACCGGTAATGTACTCAAGTGACCTTAAAATGCCTTAAATCCTTCATCCTTGCATAACTTTACATTAAACATTGAGAATGCTACCCTGTCTTTTAATACTCTACATCCAGCTAACAGCATTTTTGGGAAATCACCTTACCTTGTGGATTTATAGTTTTGTAAATATTCACCAAATTATGTCATGTACTACAGAAGCAAAGCAAGCCAAGATATTCCATCACATTTCAGTTTACTGTTTATAGGACACCAGTAGGGAAATCTCACTGGATTATCATTTCCATATTTAAAACTTGTTTGTTTACAGGAAATAATTTTGATTCTTGCTGCTGTTTTGAACACTGAGATTCTGTTCTTTATCCTTGTTCTAGCCCTCTCTCTATGGGCATGCCAAATTTTGCTTTTTCCCTCATGGTCTTTACCTTCCATCTGTCCTTCCATCAATCCCTGGTTTGCATTTCCCCTGTCAAACCAAACCACAGGAACCTAGGCCTATTTTCAACGTTTGTCTTGACAAATATAGCTCTCATCTGTCTTAATTATTAAAATAATTACATGCATTTGAGAGAGAGATACAAAATAGGACTGCAATGAGTACAAATGCATGAAAGGCTCAGGAGCAGAGCAATGACCATGAGTATAACACCAACACTCCATCTTCCCCTTCTCTTCACAATTTAGAAGATAAAATATGGTGCAGCCTCAAGAAAACCAATAAGAGGGAGTCAGTTGCTGACAAAAGACCTACCAGTTGCAGCAAATCACAGACAGCAACATTAAACAAAGAAATTAATCTTTCAAACATTTCAGCAACAAAAGATTTCATATTCAGGAACTAATCCTGCTAATGACAACATTCATTTAAAGGGAGCAGCATGAAATAGTTTAAGCCTCATGTCTAGAAGTTAGAACTCCATTTTCCATACTTATTGGATTGTTTTCAAATACTGCTGGATTCCTGATGCCACCCAAGTAACTATACATTTCATTTTCCTTGAAAACTGAAAAACAAAGTCAGAGATTTTTTTAAAATCAGATTTCAGATTTTATATTACTGTCTCAAACATCAAGTCAGCTTCAAAAATGATATTGGCTGCGTCTACACAAGCAGACTGCACAGTTGTTACTTATGCATAAGCAAGTACTAAATGACTGTGCCATAACCGGCATACTAGTTGACTGTGCAGTACCATCACCACATGGTTTTTTTCAGACACTACTGCATGGTAGCAATGAGCTACTGCACAGTACCATCACCACACAGTTAGTGCCTGGCAATGCTACTGCACAGTAGCAATGAGCTGCTGAGCAGTAGCTCATTCCTACCATGCAGTAGTGTCTTGTGTAGACGTGCCCACTGACATCTAAAATCTGAGTTGACAGTTATCCTAGGTATTTATATATTTATTTTAGATATACATAACATTTATTTTAAATTAGAAAGACTTGTTTCCTGAGCTCCTTACACCAGCCAAGTAATTGTTCAGAACTGTCCCATAATGTACCTGCTTAAGCAGAGACACAGAACTATGCTGCCCAATGAGTTCTCACACTTTCTCCATCAGCAATCTGTGGAATAAATTGTGCATCAGCATCACCTCCGAGGGGAAACAGAGGGCAAATCAAATTTCCTTCTGAATTTCAGGCTCCAGTTGGCAATCTTAACAGGTTGTTAATTTAAAACACCCTACCCTGCCGACTTCAGCTTTCCTATAGAATCTGAGCCATCTTTTCTCAGATTTTATTTTATCATAATCATCAGACAGGATTAAGAAAACACCAAGTGAGCTTTCCTTAATGTGACAAAGAACCCAGGCACCCTAGTAGTCATAGGAACACACTAACCCTGAGTACTTGGATTAAGAATATCATGATTAGCAGATAAATAAGACAGAAAAATGGGGTTGGAAACATTTCAAGAACAGATCAAAATAATAGTCTCAGTGTGATTTTGCAGAAACTTATATTGATGCTTTTGTTTTCCTATTATGTAACCATTCACAGTTAGAACTCATTTAATCTACAGAGAGAAAGCTCGGTGCTTGTAAACATTGGCCTTATTTCTGCTGATGTGGCAATACAAAAGCATGATTTTTCCACCCCCACCCCACAAAAAGAACATACTTTAACCCTTTTCTCAAATGCTTTTTAAAGAATGCAACAGTGCTTCACTGGATATCAAACACTTGAAACCGTGCAATATCAACATCCTTCACATATTTTATGAGAGATTAAATTAGGAATCAAAGGTCATCTTGAATTTTCCTGATCACATAGGCTAAGTACAGATGTTAAAAACCCTGAGGTGGAAGCGCTCTAAGTATCACACTTTACTCAAAGCACCCTAGTTTAGGTCAGGAGCAATCAACAGATGTTTCCTATTTCATGGGGAGGGATCAGAAGCTGCCTGCACTGGCCAAGACCCACAGATAGGGTGCATTCTTGCACACCTCCCACATCCCGCAGGCTCCCCAAGCTGCCAGAGACTCCAAAGTACAGCCAAATGGGAAACCCACTCCTGATTAGCTACCTGGTGCAGGAGAGCAATCAGCAATAGGCCTCACAGGGAATTGCAGACGAGCAGGAATAGAAGGGACCTCCAGTCCAGGCTAAGGATGCCTGGGGGCTGAGATCCAGGCAAGAGAGCCTGTCTGCTGAATGCTGGGGAGGGCAGGCTGGGCGCCAGCATCTCCCCAGCACTGCAATGGGTGCTGGGGGCACCTGTCCCACCTGGCTCTGTCATGGAGGTGCAGGGCAGGATTGCTTGGGACCAGGTTGGATACACACACACGCACGCACACACACACGGATCTCTCTCTCTCTCAAACACATACACACATGGACTTCAAGCCTTGCTCCCTACAGAGAGCCAGTAGCAGCAGCAGCAAGAATGAAAATGAGAAAGACAGCTGCTGTTGGCTCTACAGGCATATCTTATTTGTTCTAGCTGGCATTGGTAATAAGCTAATTGGGTCATTACTAAATTGGCTACAGGAAGACAGGCCTCAGGATATAAGACAAAAACAGCAAGAGCTTAACAGTAACAGTGTCTCTGAGTGGCTGCTTGACTCAGCCCTTAGGTGGTTGATTGTAGCAGCCATTTTAAAACACTGGCTGCCTATATAAACAAAGCAGTTTGCTGCTTGGAAGCCAAGGCAGAAACATCACCTGGCTGAGCTGCATGAAATATCTAGCAGGTAGAAGCTAGAGGCTCTTGGTCCTGGGCACAACCTAAAACTGCACCCTGCTGGGGAAGGGTGGCCTGGTGGGGTTCCTGGTGGTACAGAAGTCCCCAGGAAAAACCAGGCCAGTTACCTCCTTGGTGAAAGGGGAGGAGGCGTGCCTTAACCCCAGCCCCCATCTTTGGGTGGGATTTGGAGGCAGTAGTGGGGCCAAGCACAGCTGTGGCCACTTGAGCCCATGAGTGGGGTTGTAAGACCCTGGGGAGTGAGTGTACTGGGGCCAGGCATGGCAAATGGAGTGTCACCTGAGCCTATGGGGGTGGTCAACCTGAGGCCTTGAGAGAGAGGGCAGTGTAGTGAGGCCCAAGGGAAGAGGGTTGAGTTGTGTAGCCATGCACAGACTAGGGCTGAATGGGAGTACACCTGAAGGGCAGTCCCAGGGTGCATTGAGTAGGGCCAAACTGGGAGTAAGTCTGAAGAGCAGCACAAGGGCCAGTCCCATGAATAGTTGATTGGGAAGACTATGAGAAGACCCCAGCATGGGGTGTGGTGCAGAGGCCCTAGAGAGGGCACGGTAGGAACATCATGTGAGGGGAGTAGGCTAAGGTTTGTCTTTGGATACCTAAAACCATAGTTTGGGCCAGAGGCCAAGTAAGGGGGCTCAGTCAGAGAGATAGGGGTGAGTCCTGACCCTCGTAAGTCCTCCACCACAAGGAGGCTGAGTGTGGGTTGAAAGTAAGACCTGTAGTTGAGCACAATGACCTGCTGCTCCAGGGAGGGAGTGAGTCCCCATGAGACCCTGGAGCACCAGTCATAGTATGGGTTAAGAACATCATGTGGATGTCAGCTGCAAGACATAGGCTGCAGTGTAGGGGAGGTCAGAGCCGCAGATGGCCTCCCCTCTGGCATCGGGGCATGTAATGGGTAGTCTCCCACATTTAGCATCTGTTTATAGGAACACCAAAGCCGTGGCAGGAAAGGCAGGGCAGATTGCCCCATAGAGACAGGTGGGCTGGCCAGCATGGGACTTGGCCCCTAGTTTGCCCCCTGTCACACACGGAAATGCAGCAGTGACTTGCCAAGACTGTCTACATGTACCTAGAGCAAGGAGGCAACTTACCTGAATGCCTGAGAAGTGAGACGGCTCTGGTAGAAGAAAGGACCTGGGTCTTAGGAATTACGAGTTAAACTCTAAAATACAGAAAATAAGGAAGGTAAAATAAGAAGATGAGACTAGCTGCCAGCATCTCACAGGCGTAAAGACTGTAAAGAGGTACTTCATTGATTATTGCTTTGTGTGTGCACCTCTCAGGCAACCCTTTTAGAAACATTAGGGAGCACCATATAAAATCAGCTGGGAGATCTGCAATTATTCATCCATCCTCCCATCACAGGTATGGCAGACAAGTGAACAAAGGTAACGGTCATATTCCCAGATCCACAAGGGAACCTTTTAGACCTTATGGACCTGTAACACCTAGCACTGTCCTACCTCCTACCTCTAATCCCTATCCCAGATCTACCTGGCTTGGTGGGCCCCTGTGTTTATCTTGTCCCCTATTGCCACGCCAGTTCCTGGTTTTTGCCCTAGGCTCTGCGTTCTTGGCTTTCACTTCAGCCCCTGACTCCTGGCTTTTGACATCAGTTCCCGATTCTGATTTTGGCTTGTCTCCAGATTACTAACCGACTTAGCTAACACCAACCCTTATCCCTAGGTTCTATCCCCTAGAAAAGACCATTCACAATATGGTTTCCCATGTCCTTTATGAAAATTATCAGCAATCGGATCATTTTTTGGTTCTTCTTATAAAATATAATATCATAAAGCTCTTAATATTTAAGATGGTGTGTGATAGTTCAGTTACCATGGTCTTTCTAGATGGAGCAGACTTGCAATTAATTTGACTAAATAAACTCCAGTATAGTTCATACTGGAGTTTATGGGCACCATAACTCCATAACCACCTGGGCACCACATTTACACATGCACCCAGGGTCGTAGCACATTGACCCAGGTCAGAGCAACCCTGGCTGGCAAGGCACCCAGGGGGTCAACCTGCCAGCCAGGGCTACTTCAAGCTGACTCAACATGCTGTGGAGGGGATGCTGGACCACCAGAGTGCTCCAGTCCAGAGCTTGCTGGCAGGCACCCCTCATACTGGGCACCCTCGTCCCTCAGCCAGCCCCATCAGCATCTACACATGTTGTAGTGCACTAAATAGTGACACCGCAGGATAGTACTTGTGTTTACAAGTACTAACCTATGACAGTGTTTATTAGTTTATTGTGGGCTGATAATGTAGATGCTGAGATTTTACTGCAGACCTAATTAGGCAGCTCTGCAGTAAATGTTTCATGTAGGTGTACCCAGTGAGTAATAAAAATAGAGCTTTCGTAAAACTTCTTAAAAATCTCCAAAACCTCTTCTACCATATAAAATAGTGACATTGTAGTGTAGCATACATGTTCCATCTATGTATATTTGTTTCTCCTCTCATGAGTAATGCTGCCATTTTATACTTGCATCAGCAAAGCTCTGATACTACACAACAATTTAATCCAGATAGGCATATTCAATACAACACATAGGGGAGCAATCGGGGTGGGGGAGAAGAAAAAGAACACACTCTATTTAAATACTTAAGTTAAATGCATTTCAGTGGAAACTCTGGAGGTGAAAAACAATAGGGAAATAGTAGAAGCACAAAACAAAGTTAGCTGCATGGATTAAAGGTTTCGTGCTCTATATATGCCTAATCATGCAAAACTTTACTTACTTATAGCTTTGACTTATTCACACAAGTAAGAACTTTCAGAATTAGGTCTTCTTTGGTTAAAATCTTTTTCCATTGTTCCCCTATTCATTCTAATTGCAAGTTAAATTAGGTCCTGGAACAAGTGCAACATACCTTATCTGTTAATACAGCTAATTAAAATATCAGTATGAGCAGCAATAGCCACCAATGAGGCATTACATTCTTTGTGTTTTCTTCTCATTTTATATTTTTTTTTTTTTTTGAAAAATAAGACTGCTGCCCCCTCTGAGACTCTCTTTCTCTACTCAAGCACTTTTATTACCTGATTAATTGGTAATTGTATCAAAGTATGGCTTTTTACGATTCACATACTTAGGAAAGTGCTAAATCTTAATGGGAAAAACTTTAATTGCTTTGCACCTATTTTAATTTCCAAAAACTAAATCTTAGTAAATAAAGTGGAAGTTGTGAACATGTCATAAGCTTCTGAATGGATATCCACACTTTATTTTGTCACTTTAAAAATATATAATACCAGTATTATTTTTCTCCTTTAAACACTTTTGTCCTCACTCCAGACATCAGACCAAGCAGGAAAAAATGTTAATTCAAAATTGATCCATGCATGGCTGTGCAGGTGATGTCACCAGCAGGGATTCGGCTTCTTCGACCATGGAATGTTGTTCCCAGAAGAAGGATTGTTAGGAAGAGATTTTGATCCACCTGACAAAGAGAGGGAAGAGCATCTTTGTAAACAGGTTTGCTAACCTAGTGAGGAGGGCTTTAAACTAGGTTTGCCGAGGGATGGAAACCAAAGCCCTGAGATAAAAAGGGAAGCAGAAAACCCAGAGGAAGCAGAAGCAGGGGGGAGCAACAGGGGAGACCTTATTCTTCCTGAGAAAGTAGGGCAATTGGCTAGTCACCTTGGGTGTCTGTACATGAGTGCATGGAGCCTGGGAAACAAGCAGGAAGAAGTGGAAGTCCTCAGACAGTCAAGGAACTGTGATGTGACTGGAATAACAGGGACTTGGTGGGAGCTCACATGACTGGAGCACTGTCCTGGATAGGTACAAACAGTTCAGGAAGGACAGGCAGGGGTGAAGAGGATTTGTACTGTATATAACATTCTATATGACTGCTCAGAGCTCCAGTATAAAATGGGAGACAGGCCTGTTGAAAGTCTTTGGGTTAAGGTTAGAGGGGGCAGCAACAAGGGTGATGTGGTGGGTGTCTGCTATAGACTACCAGACTAGGAAGATGAGGTAGATGACACTTTCTTCAGACAACTAGCAGAAGTTTCCAGATCACAGCACTTGTTTCTTATAGGGGACTTCAAATGGTCTGACATCTGCTGGGAGGGCAGTACAGCAGAGCATAGGGAGTCCAGGAAGTTTTTGGAGAGTGTTGGAGACAACTTCCTGGAGCAAGTGTTGGAGAGACGAAGTAGGGGCCATGCTTTTCTTGACCTAGTTCTCACAAACAGGGAAGAATTGGTGAGGGATGTAGAAGTAGGTGGCAAGTTGGGCAAAAGTGACCATGAAGTGAATGAGTTCAGGATCCCGACAAAAGGGAAAAAGGAGAGCAGCACAATAAGGACCCTGGACTTCAGAAAAGCAGACTTTGACTCCCTCAGGAAACTAATGGGCAGGATCCCCTGGGAGGCCAGTCTGAAGGGGAAAGGAGTCCAGGAGAGCTGGATGTATTTTAAACAAACCTTACTGAGGGTGCAGGAACAAACCATCCTGATGTGCAGAAAGAATAGCAAGTGTAGCAAGCAACTAGCCTGGCTTAGCAGAGAACTCTTTGGTGACCTTAAACACAAAAGGAAAGCTTACAAGAAGTGAAAGCTTGGGCAAACAACTTGGGAAGAGTATAAAAGTATTGCTCGGGCATGCAGGGATGAAATGGAGCCCAACTGGAGTTGGAGCGCAATTGCAGCTAGCAAGAGACATGAAAATAGTAACAGTGTAGCAAGCAACTAGCCTGGCTTAGCAGAGAACTCTTTGGTGACCTTAAACACAAAAGGAAAGCTTACAAGAAGTGAAAGCTTGGGCAAACAACTTGGGAAGAGTATAAAAGTATTGCTCGGGCATGCAGGGATGAAATGGAGCCCAACTGGAGTTGGAGCGCAATTGCAGCTAGCAAGAGACATGAAAATAGTAACAAGAAGGGTTTCAACAAGTATGTTAACAAGCAGAGGGAGGTCAGGAAAAGTGTGGGTCCCTTACTGAATGGGGGAGGCAACCTGGTGACAGATAAGGAAAAGGCTGAAGCACTCAATACCTTTTTTTTTTTTTTTTTTTAAACTCATTCTTCACAGGTAAGGTCAGCTCCCAGACTACTGCACTGGGCAGCCCAGTTTAGGGAGGAGGTCAGCAGCTTTTAGTAGTGACGGAACAGAGTAGGGACTATTTAGAAAAGCTGGACATATACAAGTCCATGGGGCCTGATGGAATGCATCCAAGGGTACTGAGGTAGTTGGCTGATGTGATTCCAGAGCTCCTGGCTGTTATCTTTGAAAATTCATGGCAATCAGGGGAGGTCCTGGATGACTGGAAAAGTGCAAATATAGTGCCCATCTTTAAGAAAGGGAAGGAGGAAGATCCAGGGCTCTACAAACCAGTCAGCCTCACCTCAGCCCCAGAAAAATCATGGAGCAGGTCCTCAAAGAATCCATTTCTAAGCACTTGGAGGAGAAGAAGGTGATTATGAACAGTCAGCATGGATTTACCTGGAGCAAGTCATGCCTGACCAACCTACTTGCCTTCTATGATGAGATAACTGGCTCTGTGGATGCAGGGAAAGCAGTGGACATATTTGCCTGACTTTAGCAAGGTTTTTGATACCATCTCCCACAGCAATCTTCAAACTGACTGGGGAAGTATGGGTTAGATGAATGGACTGTAAGGTGGATAGAAAGCTGGCTGGATTGTCAGACTCAACGGGTTGTAATCAATGGCTCAATGTTTAGCTGACAGCCGGTATCAAGTGGAGTGCCCCAGGGGTCAGTCCTGGTGCTGGTTTTGTTCAATATCTTCATTAATGACCTGGAAGATGGGATGGATTGCAGCCTCAACAAGTTTGCAGATGATACCAAGTTGGGGGGTCTAGTAGATGCACTGGAAGGTAGGGCTAGGATTCAGAGTTACCTAGACAAATTGGAGGATTGAGCCAAAAGAACTTTCATGAGATTCAACAATGACAAGTGCAAAGTCTTGCACTTGGGATGGAAGAATCCCATGCACCACTACAGCCTGGGGATTGACTGCCTGGTGAACATTCTTTTTCAGAAAAAGACCTGGGGATTACAGTGGATTACAGTGGACAATAAGATGGATATGAGTCTGCAGCATGCCCTTGTTGACAAGAAGGCTAACAGCATACTGGACTGCGTTAGATTGAGGGAAGTAATTATTCTGCTCTATTCTGCACTGG